TGCTGAAGGAGTTACAGGTGACCACAGCAGTTTGTCCTCTCAGTCCATGGAGATGGTCATTGTCAGTTGGGTTAAATGCAACAAAAAACAGGCCACAGAAAGACTGTGTCTGTGGGAAATAGGGTCTGGAAAAAAACAGACCTCTGCAAAGCACAGAGCAACTCATTACAGGAATGAGTTTGTAGCTCCAAAAAACTGCCATCTCCCCAGGTAACAGCTAGCAGCCAATCGGATGCTGCAGTCACACTTTTTACCTTATAGGGAATGTTTTCTGTTTGTGTTTGGCTATAAAAGGCTGTGACCTTTGAATAAACTTGTCTCAGTTTTTCACCCCATGCCTGAGTCCATGCCTTAATGCACCACACGTCTCACTGGAAGTCACAGAAAAAAAAGTTTTTTACTCAGCAGTGGAGATCTGACTCCCAATACGTTGTGACCTATACTCAAGTAAACCTTAGCTCTTTGACAGTGAGTGGTTTTAGCTGTTAAAGTATTGGAAAGACCCTTGGGATATGGAAAGCTGGTTTGTCAGATGAGAAATCTTCTCTGAAAGCAATACTATACCTACACACTCTGGATGGAATCTATCAGGATCTGGGGGCAGGGAGAAGAAATCTCCCTAGTTTGGGGTTCCTAGGGGGGCACTCCAACTTGTTCGTAAGTGTTTGGTGGACACATAAAGGATGTCAGGGTTAGATCTGGTGAGTGACAGGAGGGACATACAGTATATGGGGCATACACCATGTAGACCAGGTCACTCCCAGTGGGAGGGTGTCCTGGTTTCGCCCAGGACAGAGTCAATTTTTTCACAGTAGCTGTGAGAGGGCGGAGCCTGGATCTGTGTGGGCATGTATAGTGGGTTGACTCTGGCTGGATGCCAGGTACCCACCACTGTCCCCCTGCCACTGCTACCCTGGAAGGGTCAGTGATCTGTAGGGTCCAGGAGCAAGCCCTCACACCAGTGCTGGACACTGATCTCCCCCCTGCACATGCAGAGTGACAGCAGAGGGGATGCTTGCTATGATCCACCCTTCTCCCCCTGGACACCTGGGTTGACTTCATCACTCCTAAAGAACCTACCATATCTGACCAAGTCCACATGTGAACTGGTCCCTCTGGGCTCCTTGCAGAGCTGACAGGGAAAGGACACGGGTATCCTCAGATAGGAATCATTCAACCTTCTCTAGACCTCTACACGGAGATGCAACAAATCATGTCCCAATGTGTCCATGCCTCTCCTAGGGCAGGAAATTTGAGTGATCAGCCCACACACAGGTCCCACCTTTACTCACATGATCTCCACACTGAACTGTAATGTCTGACTTGAAAATACTTGTCAATGAGGAGGGGTCCAAATGCCTGCTACGTGCCTAAATTCAGGTGAGATCCCAGCATGGTCAGGAATCCCAGCACTTTTGAACCTGTTTGGACAAAGTCAGGAATCCAGTGGTTCTAAGAGGAACATGAACAACTTACAGAGTCTGCCTTTCTCCTAAGGAGCTGTTCCCTTGTTTCTCATCCAACAAGGAAGCTGGATGACAACTGTAGCCAGAAGAGAAACAAGCAGTTTATTGTAACTCCAAGCATATGACAGAAAGGATTGAAAATCAGTAAGGAAACAGAAGGAGATGAGCTGCAAGGCAATTAAGGCGCCAAACCAAATTATATCAATGCTGTCTTCCAAGTTTATCCCATAGCACCAGTAAAGCCCAGCATTTCAAAAGTACCACATAACACAAGACAAGGAGCAGCTGGCCAGCAGAGGCACAGCCACACCATTTGGAGGAGGGAAAGCCCATCCTGAAGGCACGGGTCCAGCAAACTGAAAGCCAAAAGCTGCAAGATGCCAGTCCAGAAACCACTTGGGATATGTCCCAAAACTCTCTGCTCATGTCTAGAAGCATTCACAGCATGTCCCTGTGACATGCAGCCTCCTGTACCCTTTGTGAGCTACAGCAGCTTCACAGGGAGGAGGGGGGATATCTTGTAGGACATGACCCCCTGGGTTGTTTTCTCTGGTAAGTGTAGAGTTTGCCAAGGGTTTGCAGTCTGAAGACTGTCTCTAGGACCATGACATTCGGTTGTGACACATCCAAGCCTGAAAGTCTTTCCAAGCATTTGCCAAAGGGCGCAAAATGCACTGACTCAGCCCTCCCCGTGATGTCTTCATGATGCCAAGATGGTTATGTGGTCTCTTCCAACAAAACAGGTGAGATGAAAATGGAGAGGATGATGAAGACCAGCTCTGCATCTGAGCTACACCTCTCAAACACAGCAGATAACCGATCCTCCCTGGAGAGCAATAAAAAGCAAATCTTATGAATGGGGAATATTTATCTTCAAAACATTATTTTCTTACAAAGTTGTTTTTTGGCAGCACTTAGGTGAATTAGTGCCCAAATCCAATTACAGACTTTTATGAGTAAGGAGAGATGAAAAGGTTACAGCCAAAGCAATGACCTCATGAGCTCCTAGCCATAAAGCTTTCAAAACAAAGCTTATTTACCAGTAAGAACAAGCACCTCAAATGAGCTTTGAAAAGATGGGGCAGGAGAAACCTTCAAAATACCAGTTGTGGTGAAGGAATTGCGCCCAGTGCCAAAGCGGAGACGGATTTGCCTGTCTGTGCATGTCCACAAAATGGCAGAGCGTGCCATGCTGCAAGAGCATCTCTGAGGATCAGATGCACCCATTCTCAAATTTCCAAACAAAAAAAAGAGAATTTTAGGGGAAGTTTTTTTGTTTTTTGTTTATTTTTTCACCTTTTAATTGCCAAATAGTCACAGGTTTTCCTTGGAATATTTTGTTAAAATACTATTGATAGATTCCAGCAGCATAACTCATGTATATATATTAACATCCAGATATCCAGAATATTCTGCTTAACCCATTAGGGATGTCACTGTATCTCTCTGTAGAGATACATATACAGACCTGAATGTACACTGCAAATTAGTTCTAGATTCATGTCCTATCATACCTTATCATCAAAGGAACCCAAATTTCCAAAGCAGCCTGCAAGTAAGAATGTGATACTGTTAACCCTGCTATTGCTGCTGAAGCACATTCAGCAGCAAAACATTTTCATCTGAGTCATGTTAAAGAATGCTTGGACCAGCCCAGTCACGCTGGAGGATGTTTGGACCACCCCAGTGGTGCGTGGAGGATGCTCAGACTTGCCCCTCTGTCCATGTACAGCTGCTGTAAGCAACCCATGAGTTCTTACAGACAGAACAAGAGTTTATGTATCTCCAACCTGAAAAACCTCTTCTTCAGGATATGACACAAACACAACTGCAGTGTGGGACAGCTCCATGAAAGGTAGATTTTTCTTCCATAGACTCACAGAAATATTTTCCCTTATGCCCCCACACACTGCTCCACAGAGCCATTTAAAACAAGGGATAAAGACCAACAAAATCACTGTCTATATTGCACAATTGCATTCAAATCCAGTTAACAATGATATGTCAGGATTAAACCAGTTGTCTGCAAGTATTTCACTTGTCAATGCCAAACAAGATAAATCCTCACCCAGAACTACCCAGCTCCTCGTTCTCACATGCACATATGACTGCACATGCCTAGGTAAGCCTGTCTCCAAAATAATGCAGCATTGCTCGAGTCTGCCCAGAGGCACAGACAAAACATCAAATCCATCATTCCCACTGGGTCTTCCAGCTTAGAGATGCCACACTAGCAGTTAATCTAGATATCAAGGTATGTATTGGAATGAATTCACTGGAGGGAATGGACTCAAACTGGTTTTAGGACAGGATAAGGTGACAACTTGGTGTTTAGGACAAGATGATGTGATAACCAGACCAGGAGGACCTAGCTTATTTAATAGCTGTTGACTGAAAGTTAAACCCTAGAGAAGAAAATCAGTTCCTTGCACCAAAGATGGTTTGATTTCTCATTTCCAATTATTCCCCAGGGAAAATCACCTTATTTTGCAGAATTACTGGGATCTGTATCATCTGAACCTGATGTTTTCTTCCTGTGACCTGAAGTCCAGACATACCAAGCATGGAAGAGACTGAGTAGGAAGCAGCTGCAGGCTCCCTGACAAAGTTAGCAGCACTTATTTCTCCACTCCTTCCACTGGTTTGTGTATTTAGTACCACTTAGCTCACCCAAAAGAAACAGTAAGGCAGATCGTCACATGGTTTTCAGGATGAGCAAAACTTTTCCTGGCATGGTGCATGAGCAAGAAGCCCAACGAGCTCTTTGCTCAGCACTGAAAAGGGTAGCACTACCACAGCATATGAGATGTCTCCATCCTTTGTAGGCAAAGAGGAGACTTCAGCAAAAACATGCTAAGCATCCTCAGAAACTTGCCAAGCCCATGACACTCAGCTCCTTTGAGGACTAGGGCTCTGGAAAGTGAAAAATTATATGATGCTGACAAATTGACTTATTCAATTAGACTTTTTAACAGAGGCTCTCATCCTGCTATTTCCCAACATCCAAACATTAGAGGTCATTTAACCAGAACTACTGAAACTGCGCTGTATAGAGACATATGGAGAAGGAACAGACTGGAGAAAACATACAAGTGGATGACCATTGCATATAAACATATGCACACCCCATAGGAGAAACGCCTGGGTCAGCACACCATCACTGCTGGCTTCCTGGCAGCAATTTATTTTGGAGCTGTCAGGATGGTTGATGCTTTTCAGAATCTCCTTTCCTAAAATATATGAGCTTTGTGTACATGTACATATAATATATGTATGTATATATATTGCCCTCAACATTTCACCTCCCAATGAAGTCTACATGGTAACTGCCCTCACCCAGCACTAGGGGTCACTGCAAGGCTTGCTGAAACCACAGGTATAATTCTCCATCACAAATCCCAAAGGGCTATAGCTCAGCATGTCCAGCCCAGCAGCCTTCCCACTTCTGGGGAGGGTTTTGTAAGGAAAGGTAAGGCAGGGAAGGAGCTTCTGGTCTCCACCACAGCATGGGCAAGATATGTCCTCATCACCTACCTGCCACACTGGAAGGACTTTCTCATATTTCCCTTTTCCAAGCCTGTGGCAAGGAAGAAAACAAACAAAACCACATGAAATCTCACTGGAGCCAAAGTTAATTTTCTACTATGGCACATGGGGAAAATTATTTCTTACTGCAAAGGACCCTCATGAAAACAAAGAGGCTCTCTGAAGCGAGTATGCTGTGCCTCCAAAACTCTCCCACGAAGGCACAAAACTGTTAGTACAGAATTAAATGCTTTTCTCAGTCCTGCACCTGCACCATCTGCCACAGCATTCAAATGTTTTTGGTAATAGCAGCAGTGAAAAAAACAAAGGCAGTTCTGAGCAGTAGTGTTGGGTGATTGAATTCCCAGTTCAAGTAAAACTGAAAGCACACCTGGACAAAACAAAACAAAAAAAAAGAGGATGCAAAAAGTAATGAAAAATGTTTCCTTTGAAGTACTTCTCATTTGCTGGTCTCCACAGGAGGTTGAGTTCCCCTGTTGAGAAAGGTATTGGTGAACAAGCACAAACATACCTCTCAGACAGCAAACGGCAACTGGTATAGATGCAAATATACAATTTGAAAGGCAAAATCATCTGAGTGAGAAACCAAGCACTCACAGATCAAACACGAAGCTGACAGTTAAAGGACTTTATTGCATCAAGAAAGGAAAAAAACAATCCAAAGGTAATTACTAACTGGATGCAGAGAGTTTGCAATGATACAGAAGAAGAAAAAATGATCAATAAATATCATCCTTCTGCATTTATAAACAATTGAGGTGATCTTTTTTTATTATGCAAGAATGATAATGTATTTTTTGGTCAATAAGTGACAAGATATTGTCAAATAACATATATTAAACAGAAACTTTGATAGCAGCAGACCCAGGTAATCAGTGTCTGGAAGTCAGAGGACAACATATTTTGGTGGAATTACAGCAAATGAGGGGAAAAAAGTCCAGAAAAATGGCATGTACCGAAGTACTAGGCTCAAAAAGCAGCAAGCTGAAGGGAAACAATTAATTTAATTAATACCCTAATTGCAACCTGGTCTAGTGGAAGGTGTCCCTGCCCATGACAGGGGGGTTGAAATGAGATGGTCTTGAAGGTCCCTTCCAACTCAAATCATAAGAGGTGTTCAACAATTGACTTTCCCTCATAGATAAAATAGTGACTTTAATTTACAAAGGGAAAAATATAGCATGTGTATAAATATAAATATATATATGAATGAAAAAAATATTTGTATATATATTTATATACATGAGAAAAATCAAATCAAATATCTGGGGACAAATAATACCAGTTGCAGGTACAGAATGGGCAAGCGTACTGTAGGAAAAGGTTGTTTGAAAAGGATGGACACTGTCCCAGGCTGAATGTCTGATGCCGGACTGTGGCATAAACGCAGGGGATGAGGATACAGGGATTTGGGGGATGAAGGCAGCTTTCCTCTAGAGACAGCATGCACATCTGAGTCTGAACTACAGGACAGCAGGCAGCACTGGCAGTCGTGTTTCAAAGAGGTGTTAGAGAAATTTCTTAGACAAATTTCTTAGAGTGCAAAAAAAACTAAAGTGATACATGGGCTTGGGAGATACCTGGAATGAAGAGAAAATATCAGCTACAAAAGGTTGTTTGAACTGGAAGAGTAAAAGCCAAGCAAGAGTTAATGCTGGAAATTAAAGGCAGATAAATTCAGGTCAGAAACGAGGTACAGTTCCCTGGTTTTTCTTAACCACTCCTCTTTGATTATTTAGCATACCACCAAACTCAGTATCTTCCAATAAAATCAGATGTCTTTCTGGAGGAAAATGCTTCAGCCAAGAAAACGTCACTAAATGTCAATCAACTGAATGCAACTACTTGGCCAACCTTGGGCAAGTGATCAGGCTAAGGAATAAAATGGTCCCTTTGGTACTTAAAGTGTAGAAAACACATATTGAACAGCATCTTTCCTTTTTATTCTATTTATTTGTTCATTGCACAGTTAGCATGTTAAAAAACTCCACTCAAGCAAGAGGGAAAATGCCTAGCTAGCAGGTGGAGATTATTGGAAGTTCAGCAAGTTGAATCATGCTCAGCAAAGATTTGGCAGGGAGAGCTGATGAATGCACAACACAGACAACTTTAAAAGTTAAAAAATAAAACCAATTTTGTCTGTGCTTTCTCTATTCTAACACAGGTTACTTATATGACCTGCATTTTGGGAGATGCATTGCTTGTGCTGACAGCATCTGTTAAACTTTTCTGCATATACGCTAATTCTTATTCATTTTTTACAACTGTAATATTTAGGAGTAATTAAATATCTCACCTCCACACTGGCTTCTCTACCTGTTTGCATACTGGGCATGAGACTGAAGTGTTTTGCTAAGGAGGATGAGTTATGAGGAAGACCAAGCTCCTCCCTTTAAGCAATTGTAAATCTGAAATTAAGAGGCTCCAATTGAGGAAGTATGGAGAAAGAAAAAAAAAATAACAACCCTTTATTAAAGGATATATGTGTATTGGCAGAACAACAAAAGAACACAAAAACAACTAAACAATAATCCTGTACCAAAAATCCCCTTCAAAAAGGAAACACTGCAGTACTTTCTGCCTTTTGGCGCAATTCTAACCACGATCAGAAGGGGGTGCTGTTGGATCACTGGGGATGCAGAGTCTGCAGTTGCTCTGTGGTGGTCAGCAGGGGGCGCTGTTGGGCTCTGGCGGTCGCCACGTGGGGGCCTCGGTGCACGGGAGAAGCCGAAAATGGAGATCTCCCCCCCACCAAGAAGGGGAAGGGGAAAAGGGGAAAAAAGGGTTCTTCCCGCGAACTCACACTGTCGGCGTCTGGCTCCGGCCGGGACTCCCCCAAAGATTCCTTCGCAGAAGGGTCAAGCCTCTCCAATGAAATCTGGACAAGTCCGGGCTGGGGACAGAACAGGGTGCAGGAGAAGGGAGGCAAACCAGGGCCAGAAGCAGCCAGATGACCCGGCCAAAAACAAAGCAAACTCGGAGCCTTTCCACACACACAGCCTCCCTGAGTCGGGGCAGAAGTAAAGTGCCTGCTGTTTCCCGAGGAGAGGGAAAAAACTCATCACCTCCCCCCCTCCGCAGTCTTCTGAGGGCCATCAGCCTGGAATGTGGATCTGTTAGTTAGTTCCTTTGTGTGTGTCAATCACCCTAGGCAAACACCCTCCCCCTCCTTCGTTCAACATCTTTCTTTTATAGCGATGCAGGGGAAAGGAAAAAATATTCCCCCTTGGGTTTTTTTAGAACAAGTAAACCTATGACAGCATTCACAGTACACCAGGAACCAGAGGCAAACCACAAAGCAGACCCTGCTGCATCTTCCCTGTACATAGCAGGTGTTATCAGTAACAAGAGCAAAACTCTTTTAAAGTTTCACAAAAGTT